AAGGAAGGAAGGAAGGAAGGAAGGAAGGAAGGAAGGAAGGAAGGAAGGAAGGAAGGAAGGAAGGAAGGACCAAACTGACGGCTTTCAGAGTAGAAACTCTCTGATTCTTAAGCATAAACTTGGCAGCCATGTTGGAATTTCAAATATTTTTCTCTCTTGGTTAAAAAAGTTACTAAATTCAACATGAAAGTAAAAATAATTCAGAAGATTGGAAGAAAACGTTATTATTTCTAACGCGTTTTAATGGCAGCTGCAACGCGTCAAAGAAGCGTCAAACAGGAATCCTTCTCAGGCAGCATGTCCCATCAGATTCACTACAGCATGTGATTCCTGGAACCTTTGCTAATCTGCAATCCATCCTAATCCGTTAGTCCAGAAAAAAATGCGTTTGGATTTTGAAGGTTCAGGATGTAGATTAAGGGATCTTCAAAGGAAGATCTGTCTTCCAAATCTAAATGACTCATTCTGCTATCGACTCTTACTGGATTATTCTGGACTGGAATATTCAAACTTAAAAAAAAAAAAAAAAAGTAATTGTTAATTTAACCGTTTATCACTAGTTCATGGGTCAACCCTCTGCACCTGCTCCTTATAATGGTCACCAGTTTGGTCAAAGACTGCAGTGGGATGTCATCCCATTCTAACCAGCATTAGATTCAAGCAGCCACTCTGGTTCCTGTGATGCAAACAGCAAAGATCCAATGGCTGCCTAATGGGGGTAAAATAAGCCCATCACGTCTTCTTCTCTCCGATATTCCGGAGATCTCTCTGTGGAGGCGAACAACAACATCTGAGAGGAGAAATGTTCTTGTGCTTTTTGCAGAATCTCATCTCTCTCTCTGCACCAAAGTTGCTTTAAATCAGGACAACAGTTGCTTTTTCAGGGAGGAATAAGTCGTCCCACACCATCATACTGCCTCCATCCAAAGCAGAGAGGATCTGGTTGGTTTTTCGTGGATCAACTCAGCTGCTCAACAAACACCAAAAGATCTAAAGCCGATAACTTTTCTGGGACACAAACTAAACATGGAATTCAGCTAAATTAGGTTTCTTTTCCCGTGCACAGGCCTAAACCTGAAAAGAAGGAGGACATTTCTTTATGCGTGCTCCCACTAGAAGAGGCGTCATGCATGAATCAAAAACGGATTCGGACTATTGCGATTTTGTCTTTTCTAAGACTACATGTTTTCAGTTTTACAGGTCCAGGCAAATAAAAAATGCCAAATGATCTAGGAATGGAATCTACTACTGATATGAAGACAGCTACTCCTGAACGGGTCAACCATAACTAATGTATCAGAGTAGAGAAGTGAAGCAGCCCTGATAAAACACAAGAGGAGAGACATTTTCATGGAACTGAGCAGAAAAGCTAAAAAAAAATACATCCATGAAATAAATATGATGGTTCAGATGAAAAAAACAAACTGATGGGAAAATAAAGGTGTTTAGATGAACAATATGGATGTATCCAAGTCATTTGGAGTAGTAGAGGAAGCTGGATAAGAAGCAGGGCAGAGCAATTCATTGCACTTGCAATATAATTGCAATTTAACACAAAAAAAACCTAAAAATCTCAGAGGCACAAGAGTGAGACACTAAATTTCTCCCTCCTGTCAGTCTAAGAAAGTTAAAATCAATCCTCTGGACTTTGTTTCCAAGTTTGAAGACGTTTCTCTTCCATCCAGGAAGATTTTTCAA